GCTACAATCACTCGATTCCTGCATGGCCTCAATCAGTAAATTAGGAATGAAGTTGAACTTTGACAGTCTGTAGAGCTAGAGGAAGTGGTTCACCTAGTCATTAGAGTGAAAAAGCAGTTGAAGGTTAGCTGTGGTAAAAGATATTCACCTTCAACTAAGCCAATTGCAGAGAACATACGTGAAACCACTATGAATCTGCTCAGGACAGAAGGAGTCAAGCTAGCTAATAGGAACACTGCTCCTGTCATTTAAGCCAGAAATGAAGGATCAAATAGAAGCATCCAATGCTTCAAGTGTTTGGGACAAGATAAGTGCCCCAACAAGAAGGCTCTTGTCTTGCGAGATAATCTTTTCCACTCTCGTTGCTTGGTCGACAGAAAAGTGTTATTTGTGGCCATCGATGGTGGAAATTGCACTAATGTGGTTAGTTTGGATTTAGTCAAGAAGCTGGGATTAAGCACCATCAAGCATCCTCAGCTCTACACTGTGCATTGGTTGAATGACTATGGAGCTATCAAAGTCAACAAGAAGGCCAAGGTTTGTTTTCAGATTGGTGATTATGCAGATGAAATTTGGTGTGATGTTGCTTCAGTGTAGGCTGCTCATCTCTTATTGGGTCGTCCTGGCAATATGATCAAGAAGCTATTCATGATGGAAGCCACAATAGCTACCAGTTTAAGAAAGGAGATCGGAAGTTTCTACTGAATCCATTATCACCAGTTGAAATTTGAGAAGATCAACAACAACTAGCAATGAGTTGGGCCAAGGAGAAAGGGGGTGCAAGTGGCTCAAAGTTGGAGGACAGAAGTCAAGTGCATGTGATGGCTCGAAGGAACATGTTGATTGCACTGAGGAGAAGTCCACTGAAAAATGTTGTTGATGTTGTCTCTTGCAGGAAAACACAAGATTTGAGGGCAAACCTTCTCCAACGGGGAGGGAATGATGCGGCTTGGAGTGGCGATCCCTGGGCGGAGGGAAGTAAATCCCCAACCAGGGAATGGGAGAATGGACCGGGGATTGTGACCAGGCTTCGCCTGGTCGAGTTCGACCTTCCTTTTCGGTTTAGGATTTTGTTTTGTTTTTGGTTTTTTTATTTTACCTCCACGATATAAAGAGCATATGACACTACTTTTGAGTTAGTTTTTTTATGAATATTAATAATTCCTTTGTTCTTTGAGCTTTAGGTTTGAGAATTTTCTCTGCATCAATCAAGTATTCCCCTTGATTGTGGTCAAGATTCTTTCTTTTATAATGTTGGATCCTTCTCCCATTTTGTGTTGAGGTTGCACTTTCAATTCCATTCTGTCCCAAAACATAAAAAAACCCTAAAAATCTATTGTTCGTTCTTGAAGGTGCGTGACTTTGATAAATACAGGTACCGTATCCGTGCTCGTATCACATCTCCTCCAATTGAAATAACATCCAATTTAGGTGTAGCGGCGGTTAACAAGCAAACACCTTCCCCCCAACGGTTTACTCCTTTTTTTTTTGGCTCAATGCCTAACTTAGGCCGAAACTTCAAACGAACTTAACTTTGCTGTCGGGTATTCGTTCATAGCATTTTTTTTTTTGAATCCACATACTTTTCATGATCTTCAAGCCACAAATGGCCGTAGGCAGTTTGGTCCTGCCTTCGTCCCGAAAAACGTCATTTGCTACCCCGAACGAGCAAGTTTTCGATTTCACCAAACTTTGTGCTCCGTACTCTGAATGTTGAGAAATATTTTTTTTTCTTTTCACATAACCTTTTAAGTCTACAACCTTTACTAGGAAGGAATTTTCAAAACATGAATTATTTTTGGATATATGGGATTTTGGGAATAACTTTACCTTTACTTTCACAAATTCACGTATATTTCAAAATTATGGCTATGATAAAAGTTGTAGTCCTTAAGAGGTTATGCGAAATTAAAAAAAGTTTCATGATGTTCAGAGTGCGGAGCACAAAGTTATGTCCGGTCAAAGTTTGGCGAAATAAAAAACTTGCTCGTTTGGGGTAGCAAACGACGTTTTTTCGGGACGAAGGTGGGACCAAATTGCCTACGGTTGTTTGCGGATTGCAAGATCTCAAAATGTTATGCACATTCAAAATCTTATTTTGCTACGGTCGGATACATGAGCTCAAAGTTACGTTCGTTTGAAGTTTCGGCCTAGGTTAGGCATTGAGAGAAAAACAAGGACTAAACCGCTGGGGGGCAGGCGGTTTGTTTGTTAACCGTTGCTACCCCTCGCAGTCAACCGAACTACCCCGACTCCAGGCGGTTTCAGCAAAAACCCCGGTCCCTAGCGATTTTTCGGAACAGGTGGTATTTTCAAATATTTCGACAATGGGTGGTAATTTTGGAAATATTTATGGTGGTATTTCTGAAAACTTCCTGGTTTTGAGGGGAAATTTTAAGTTTTTAGCGAGTGAGTCCGTGAGAGAGTGACATTTAATGGCCATCCACCAATAGTTTTCTCTCATTCTTTCTTTTTCTTCCTCTTTTTGGTGCTCTTTCAAGGTTGAAAAATCATCAACATTTCTCTCCAGATTGTCTCTTGTGCTCTCCCATGACAATCGTCTTCTCACCATTTTAGGAGCAGCAAAGAAACAAGATGAGTTCATTTTTGCTGGCCAGCTTGCAACTAGCATCAATGAAAAAGAAGACTCTTTTTTCTTCTTCCTCTCTTTTGTGCTCTCCTAAGGCGATCCTCTAGCTCACCACTTCAAGAGAAGCAAAGAATGTTGCTCATCTCTTACACACGGCATGTAATGAGGATCGATAAAGAAGACTCTTCTCCGACAGTCTTCGTTTGTGTCTGGAATATATTTGTCCGTCTCTGTGAGGAATACTTGTTTACATGTTTTCAATACTGGTTCATGTACTTATAAATACTGGTTTGTCTGTTATGAATACTTGGTATGTATATGTAATGAATTTTTGTTCATATGTTGTTCAATAATAGTTTATGTCCTTACGAATATTTGAATTCTTTTGGTTTCAAATATGAGAATACTTGCGAAAAGCTTTTGAATATTGGTTCAACACTTTTGAATACTTCTTGAACGCTTTTGAATACTTCTCGTCTACGTGTAATATTTGTTTATCAATACATAGTATTCATCTCGGTAGTACTCATCATTTATAAACTAGTATTCAATATTCTTGAACTAGTATTTTGTATGTTTGAACTGATATTCATCATTCGGAACTAGTAGTGGAAAATAAATTTAAGAATAGTGACTCTAATTAATTTTGTGAGTTTGAATTTTGGGTTGTTGGGGTCCAAAAAAGCATAAATACAAAGATGGTTGGCTTGGTTAAGTGGCTCGGGCTAGCCACTCTATCCCCCTTACCTATCACTTTCGAAGGCCACCTTTTTTACAGCCATTGAGATTAGTTCTGAATTATCTGACAACATATAGGCCTCGTGAGCACCATAATCAAAATGGACTTCTAAATATAGTATATTTTTTTTTGTAATTGAATAGCTAGTTAACCATAGTTGGAACTTGCGGCATAACTTCCGAAACCATCGTTTGCTTGTTGGATTTCATGATAGATTTTGCTTGTTATATTTATGGTTATGCAATGAATTTACCTTATTAAAATTTTAATTTTTGTTATACACAAATTTCGATCCCATAAGTGGGGGAAATAGTAATTTACAAGAAATTCACTCTTTCGTCACCAGAGAATTATCCCGTGACAAATTATATAAGTACTATCACGATAATTAAATTTCGCGAAAAAGTACACTAGACATTGCTAAATCAGTCATGGGGTAGTATCCTATGATCAATACGTGATCCATTCCCGTGATGGAAGACATTCCAATTTTTTCTTTTGTAAAGAGAAGAACTGCCATAAGTTCGGAATGTCGGTAAAAACTTTGGTTGTGGCTCGTTGAGTTCAGTGGCGAAGGCAGGATTCGAAACCACCACTGTCCTTTTTCATATTTTAAATATATAAATATTTAATTAATATAATTTAAATTAATAATATCCAAATAATTAATTTGTAGATAAAGAAATAACCGACTAATACAATTATTGTTTGCATAAATAACCACAATGATTTTTCATATTATGAAAAAAATATAAAATACTGTCATTCTTTACACTCATTAACAATCATCTAGACAATAGTATCATGAACAAATTGATCGTCAATTCAACTTTGAAACTTATTCTTAGTATAGCTTAATCTAAAAATGCTCTTTCGACATAAACTGACTGATAAAACTTATGCACTTTTGTCTCCACCATGATCCAAGATAAGTTATCAATTCATTTCGATCCAAAAAATCTCTCATAAGCCATAACATAATGATAATACCAAACAAGTTGTAGTCGAATAATAGTATCATGAATGAAACTAATAAATTAATTATTTTTTATTAATTAATGAATAAAAAATGAGTTATGGTATAGTGTTAAAACATCTTTATATTACATTTTGATTCTCGTCAAATATATGTGAGACCAATAAATTAATTATTTTTTATTAATTAATTCATAAAAAATGAGTTATGGTATAGTGTTAAAACATCTTTATATTACATTTTGATTCTCGTCAAATATATGTGAGGTTATTTTTTTCCTACCACAAAATTACTCCTGTCATGAGATAAGGGCAAAGTGCCCTCCCTCCCTCCGCCTATGGTTGAGTTTCTACTTTACCAAAATTTCAAAAGCCTTTTCAGATCTATTAGTATCATCAAGTTCCCCTTTATCCTCTCATTCCTTTATATTTCTCATTAAGGTTGAGCATTTGTCTCCATCCCTACGTGTGGCCCTCATCAGTTTAGTGAAGAACGGTTTCCCGTGGTCGTCGCCTTTGCATCAACTAATTCTCAGCCCGTCGGCGTTCTCCGATTTTGTTCCCTCACTATCGTTATAAACCTTCTCCAATTCTGTCACGCACATGATGGTTGTCATATTGGTGGCATGTCGGTCGGTTGAACCTTGTTCAATCGTGTTTACCTATAAAAAAACTAGCTTGTACCACAGCGATTAATTACAAGAAATTAAATGGATTTATAAGGCCAGCTCAACATTAATAATTAAAAGAGCTAGCTAGGCCTTGTTGGGTTGGGTTTTTGGGCCTAAGTGGCCAAGCCCCTTCTTCTCTACACGATGGCCAACCCGTCTCCGTGGCCCTCACCGCTGGACGATGCCTCCACCCCTTGGTATGAAATTTGGCTCCGAAAAACTAAGTCTGGAAACAAGGCGACACAATGGGGTGCCAAACGACCGGGTACCAAGCCGGATACCAAATAGGAGGCCATCCAAAAACTAAGTCTGGAAACAAGGTGACACAACGGGGTGCCAAACGATCGGGTACCAAGTAAGGGGGTCAACGACGGGGTATCCAGCCGGCTTGGTACTTTGACATAGAATTTGGCTAAGTATAGAGCCAAAGGGGTACCAAGCCGCCAAGGCAGGCCTGGTGCTAAGACATATGAAAATTGGCTAAGTATGGGGACAAGAGAGTACCATGCCGGCAAGACGGGCTTGGTACCAAGACATGAAATTTGGCTAAGTATGAAGCCAACGGGGTCGGCAAGACATGCTTGCTATCCAGGCAATAGGGTACCAGGTAGGCAAGTCAGTCTTGGTACTACTACTGTGGTTGGCTTGGTAGCAAGGGGTGTCAAGTTGATTACATGGACTTGGTGGCATGCTAGAAGGTATCAAGCCGATGAGACGGCTTGATAACAACCAACAAGTTAATGAGGAGGACTTGGCATGGTGTCATGAGGTGGTAGCGGTCTCAAGAGCGGGGAGTCATCAAGCAGTCGAGGGTGAGATCAAGACCTCATCATGGTTCATGGAGACTAAGGCAAGAACCTCAACCCAATCCAGTCATGACAAGGCTACACGGCTCAACACCAACCCAACCGGTATCGAGGCCATCAAGTACCCACCAGCCCCAAGATGGGACAAGGACCCCAAGGCGATGGTTACCAACTAGTCACCAAGGCGGGACAAGGGACCCCGAGGCGGTTTGGAGCAAGAGGCCAGCTAGCAGTTACTACGGCGGTTACCAAGGCAGTTACACCCGATGGCTATAAATAGGAGAAACGAAGACAGGAAAAGGGTTCCACAACCAACCATTTGACACACTATGTCAAACTTTATCTTTTCTATGCAAATTAGTCATAGACTTAGTATTCGGAACTCTCGCTGAATCTCCATAGGAGTAGGAGTAACGTAACTTAGTTTTATCAGCCATCAAAAACATCAAACACCCTCGTTCGAACATTGTTCGGAGAGGAGTGAACAGTGTTATTAATCGTTGTTCAAGAAGTCAAAGGTTCATCTATTGAAATCAAACACTAGAGTTTTCCTCGCCGGAAAACAAATTGGCACACCCTGTGGGACTCGAACTCACAATCATTTGATTAGAAGTCAAAGGTGCATCTATTGAAATCAAACACCAGAGTTTGCCTCGTCGGAAAACAAATCGGTACCGGTCATGAAACTGGTATGAACACCACCGGTATGACCATATGATCGATTTACGAACTCTAAGTAAAATGATATCGTTTTAGTGAAGTTAATTAATGAAAAATGAAATTATTATATATTTTATGAATATAAAAGTTAAAAGTCGAAGTAATTTGTTGGATTCATGTATAAACGTTTAAGTATTAACGTTAAATGTTGTATTTAAATGTGAATATTTGTTATTTTATTTAAAATGTCTTAATTTATTAAGCCGACATGAACCAACACAAGCCAATTTTACTACCGATTGTACCATTTTACTCGTTAAACCGACTCAATAGTATAAACCGATTTGACAACCTTTCACACCTCCAAGGCCCCTATCCTCTACTGTCGGTGGTGCGCTTCTTTCTCTGAATCACCTACCATCGCTTATTTTTTGTTTTGTTTTTTTTTAAACCTTACTCGGTTACTCCTTAAAATCGAGAGGGAAACTGTCCAAAGCCTAGATGCACTCCCGCTACTGTAAGTAGATTCCAGTTCTAAGCTCTCTGTACTCATGTTAGTTTTTTCCTAATTTTCCCATTTCCAGTTGGGCGGATTTGGGGCGGGTTTGTCTAAACCATTTTTATCATCGCTTTCAAATATTCAAATTCATACCCGCCCATACTCATGCGGGGAAGGTTTTGCAAACTCATCCTCATACCCATGGGTTACGGGGTACCTATGGGTAATACCCAACCATACATCCAACATTATAAGACCTAAACCTTCAAATGTAAATTTTCAATTATAACACTAAACACACCTATTATATTATGAAGTCGGCAAGAGACAATCATTCTTAATATGGTTCAAAGAATCTTATCCTAAAATATCTATTAATCCATAAGATAAAGTATAAAGTAATTCAAATCATTATTCTCGCAATTTGATACATCTACTAAGTAGAGAAATTTTACAATGCTATATAGTATTGGTGCTATAGGATTTTGTCTTTATGGTACAACTTAAAATTGTACATTTACGTTACGGTACAACTTCAGATTGTACCTATACTTTTTATACAAATTCTTTTATGGTACAACTTGAACTTGTACCTTTATGTGATGGTACAACTTCAAGTTGTAAAGTTGTACCATAACATAATTGTACAAATTGCTTTATGGTACAACCTAAACTTATACATTTAATGTTATGGTACAATTTTAAATTGTACATTAAAGCACCAATACTATATAGCATAGTAGAAGTGTCCCTACTGAGTATTAACTAACTAATATAATTTTGTTAAAGTAAAATAGTAAAGTGAGAGTTTAATTCTGAACTCCCCTTTTCGATGACTCTTCTTTCTCGATTAAAATTGGCTGTGTTTTTTGGCTTCTATTTAATACTCTTACCCTAAATTGCAATTTTACCCTGTTCTTGAGCACAGTGAAACTTATGTTTTGTCTTGCATTATATTCGAAGTTGTTGGTGAACATGCAATTTAAGATCGATTGTGAAGTTCAAAGGTTGATGTACGATGTGAAAAAGTACAAGGATAAAAATATGATGGGTAAAAGTCCAAAGGATCCATGTTTTCATGGAGCAGTGGCGGTCAGCAACCATCTTTATCCCGTATTGACAGAACGTTGGTCAACTAAAGTTTTGAAGAGGCATTCTTGTCGGAAGCAGTTTGTGCTCTTGATCGTGTTGAATCGGACCATAATATGATTTTACTTCATTGGGGATTAGAAGAAGAAATTCATAGGCAATGAAAATTTGTAAATATGTGACTATTAGAGGAAGAGTTTTTCAACAGATGCGTGGGATGGTGGAATGTCCCGTTACGCTAATCGCAACATGTGAGAAAAAAATGGGGGTTTTAAGCTAAAATGACCTTTTAGCCCCCTAAAAACAGTAATTGATGCAACCCTGCGCTATAATTTTCTATTTCATATTTGGTAATCCTAATTTATGAATAGTTTAAATTATGGTTTTAATTTAAATTATATTTTTTATGATAATTTGATACGAATATTCGGATAAAATTTGAGAAATTTCCGAGATACTTTTTTTAATAGTTAAAATAATTAGTTAATCACTTCAATTGATGGTTTTCATGTTTATTTTGAAATTTTTGGCATTGAAGTTTGGTCACACAATCATCTATCGTCGATGTGATTCAGAGACTCATTACTTCATCTTTATGTAGAATCGGCCACTAGTATAATCAATTATTAGTACTTTAAACACTCACACCACTCATCTTGTATCCAGAAAATGCTGTGATCCATCACTTTATCTTTATGCAGAATTGGGCACTAGTATAGTCAATTATTAGTACTTGAAACAACTCGTACCACTCATCTCATCTATATAATATAACTTATTGAAAGGAGAAAAAATGATCATTTATAGTCGTTATTTTGAATCACATGCTTTATAGCAGTTGCTATCTAATTTTAAAAAAAAATTATAGAATTTTCCACGTAATAGCACCCGAATGGTCAAAAATTCCATCGCAAATGTGTATCGATTGATTTAAAAATAATTAGAAATTATTTAAAGAAAAAGAAAAAAAGGCAACCAACGATCATATCAACCGCCAACCGCGCGGCTTGGGAGTGCTCGACACGTGCACGGCTCGCAAATGCGGTCCGCGCGTGCTGCGCGGCTGGCGATCGTTTTGGCCGCTGACTGCCTTCTTTTTTGATGTGGTCCCCCATTTTAGCCTCCCATCAACTAGACCTATTTTCAATTTCAGTTTTCTGTTTTAACCCTTAAGCTCCCCCCCACTCCTTTTTACCCTTTTGGTTGTATATGATTTGTTGGAGCTAAAAGGGCATGTTGCCCTTTTAAACCATGGATTGTGGACAACCTTAAAAGGTCAAAATAAAGTTGTTTCGATTTGGTTAAAAACTGAAACAAGCAAAGAGTTTGATCAAAACATGGAATAGAGAATAGTTCGATCGGATTGAGACAAGGATTGAGGAGCTGCTCAGTAAAATAAAGGAGATTGATAGGAATGAATAGGGTTTGCCTCAGAAGCTTCAAGAATAAACAGGAGTTTATTGCAGCAGGAGTTGGACAGAATCCTCTTGATGGAGGAAATCTCAAGTCCAAGATATGGTTAAAAGTAGAGGTGTCAAAACAGTATCCGACTCAATTAATCCGCCCGATCAACCCGTCAGCGACCCAATTAACTCGCTGCTCGACTGACTCGTAACTCGAGTAACCTAAATTCGATTGACCCGCAACTCTTTTAAACCCACAACTCGATTAATCCGAACTCGACATACTCGTAACCCGACCGACCTAACTCGAACTCCACCCAATCCGCTTGAATAATTATTATATTATATAATACATAGTTTTTCAAAATGAAGTTTTTCATTTTAAACTTAGGCAAAATTATTTTTTTCATTTCGTATAGCGAATTTAAAAACCTGAAACTCACTTGATATTATGTATTTTAATAAAATTAAAAAAATTAAAACATGAAGGTCATTTGAACACTAAGTTCTTTAACAAAATAAAAAAAAGTAAATACGAAATATAAAATCAGCACAATGTCAATATTGATAATGAAGATAATAATTGCGATCATGGACAATATTAATATAATATATATATAAATTAAAATTTTGGTTAATTTAACTATTCAACAAAGTTATCAATTTATATTTGTTAATTTGATGATTTTAAAAGAAGAAATAAATTTTGGTGTTCTCAACTTTTAGGGAAGAGAAAGAAGAGGAAACGTTGGTGCTTTGAATATTTGAGAAAAGAAATAAGGGTGAAATTTGGTGGTTTTGATTTGTGGGAAGAGAAAAAGTGAGGAAATTTGGTGCTTTTGATTATGAAAAGAGAAATAAGGATGAAAACTTTGTGCTTTTAACTGTTTTGAGGAAGTAAGGAAGAGGAAAATTTGGTTCTTTCAATTTTATGGAAGACGAAAAGGAGAGAAAATTGAGTGTTTCTAATTTACGAAATGAGAAAGGAGGGGAATTTAGTATGTTTTTTTTTTGTGAAAAGAAAGAAGGGAACAAATTTGGCGTTTTCAACTTTTTGAATTTTCAAAATTTTTGCCTTTCAAATATGGATCATTAATTTTTATATGAAGGACATGACTAATTAATTATATTATACTCTCATGTGGAATGACTATTTGACTATATCATATTTGAAAACCTATAATGTGTTATCTCAAATGAATGTTATTTTACATTATAAATCATATACCTAATCACTTATCAATTTCATTATCACAATGTACGTATGAATTATGATTCCTTACAAGTTTAACATTTAATGGCTAAGACATTCTCAGTTGAATTTTTTTATTTCAAAATGATGGTTAAACTATGTCTGTTAAGTCATACGATTGCAATAACTCAATCAACTAAGAGAATACCAAATTAATGTTGCCCTTTGACAAGTTCTTTTAAAACTTTTATAAGTACTTCAACCAAAAAACTTTTTATAAGTACATTTTTTTTTGTCAAAAGATATCATGTATTGATCGAGAAAATAGACAGTTACACCCTGGAAATCAGTCAGGTCTGGAAATCAAAGAAGCGACTCATAGTCGGATACAAAGAGAGGGCTTTCCTAGCTACCAAATGAGCTACCCTATTGTTCTCCCGACCTCCAAAACGCACACTAAAACCAGGCTAAGTACGAAAATAATGCCCAATCTCTTCCAGAACAGCACCCAACCGGCTATCTCTTGGGTCGGCTTGGTTAATTTTGTCAATAATCACCTTCGCATCGCCCTCAAACCGGACCTCCGACAAGCCTTGCTCCACACACCAAACAATGGCTTCTCTGAGCACAAGCAACTCTACCACTGCAGGGTCATCCATATGAGAGAATTGAACCCCTCTAGCAAGAAGGAGCGTCTGCGTTGGACCAAAAAGAACCATCCCACCAGCCGAATGCGAC